TCTCTACCTACATCTGTATGGATACCCACACATGCACATATACATGCACATACAATACATATTTTCTAGCGTATGAGTGTATATATTCCTAAAATGCTGAATGTGGAACGTTAACTTTAAATTACAGGACAACAGGATTTAGTTGAACAACACCCAGAGAATCATACATTCTCTTTCTTCACTGGATGTGTTCAAGAAGAGTCTGAACAAGTACATGTTAGCAAAGCTTTCATTTACATTCATTCATTTATTCATTTTATTTACAGTTCCAGACTAATAAAGCTTTCATTTGGATTCATGAGGAATGAAGTCAGTGGCTTAAATGATGCCTTTCAAATGTTGATTTCTAAAGCACTGGCAAATTTATGTTTGAATATTTCATTTAAACTCTGGACATCAATTTGCTGGAATAAAAAACTATCCTGCTAAACAACCAGCAAAATGGAGTAAATTTACACAAAGTCCTTACTATGTGTTGCGACCTGAGATTGTTCTAAAAATCAATTCACATTTTATGTGACTGATAACTTTGCCTTTTGTTTAATATAAGAGTCCAGGTGAATACAGTATATTTGAAGAGAAAGCCTTGAGTTGACATCACAGTACTATACATGGGTTGGGGAATTATAGCTAAAGCCAGAACTTTTGGCACATTGCCTCTGTCTTTTTACAGATTGTCATTTTGTGTTTGTATTCAGTTGCCAGACCTCAGCTGCTAGTTCCCTGCTTTTTACAGATTATATTTTGCAATGTGTAGATAAAAAACATGTTTAGCTCATGTGAAATATTAACCTTCACCACATGTGATCTGTAAAAGAAAAAAGCAATTTATGTAAGAAATATCTTCTTGTGCTTATCCTTAAAATAATCTCATTATTTTAAGATGAAAATTTACTTCTGCTATTACCATGGCTTGGTTGTTGTTTTTTAAAAATATTCTTAGTTATGGATATAACTGATATTTTCCCACAATCTATAGTATCACCAACGGGCAAATGGTTAATGAAAAAATGGAAGTTGACTATACACATTGAAGTACACTGATTTTATAACTTGGCTAGAACTCAAAACAGAGCAAACAAATTGGAATGTAGCAAATATGGTTGGGAATATGATTTATATTACATTTCACTGTTATTTCTTTCAATGCTGATGCTCTACTTCATTTGAATCCTATTTCCTCTTCCAAGTGCCCATGCCTATATAGTTTGTTTCCCATGTAAAGAACTTTGCATTTGTGTCTGTTAAATTTCTGTTATTTTCAGATGTTTTCTATTACCACATCACCATTACTTCAAGATACAATTTGTTCTTTAGAAGCATTATCTTTTCCTTCGTTGGGCAAATGATACTCTTACTTTTATTTCTTACTGTAGCATTGCCAAATTTATTCATTTTGGTTTCTAAGGAGGAAACAGCAATGACCTTCAACCAATCCACACATCCCTCCCAACCAGCACTTCATTTTTCAGTGACTCTGAAAATGACCTCCCTATCACAAGACCCATTACAAGACCCTAACTTGATATACCCACCTGATACACCTGACTCATCACAAGACCTACTGACCACACAAAGCCTTTATAAGCAGAAAAACATAGACACTGTCATCCCCTAAACTCCACTGGTAATGAAATGTTCAGAAGCCAATCCACAAGCTCGGAGAATGAACCTCGACCCTCACTTAATGAACTGTTGTAAGCCGAGGACTACTTGTATAGGCAATGAAGCCCCTGAATATTGTGAAACAATGCTCTTTCTGATATTTCATTAAACGGTTAGCTTTATTGGGGCATATTAATGCTTATTCTCAAGTAAATCAGAATTCATATTTTTGCTGCAAGTATGAAGTCCATTTCAGAGCAGTTTATAACACTTTAAATGAGCATATAGAAACCATACATTTTTATGATGGTTTCTTACTGAAATATCTTGTGATTTGGCCTGCTGACATCTGACAACATATTGAATATTGGCAAAGCTTCTAAAATTCTGTCCAGTCCAACTGAGCATATAGTGGCAACTATTGGATCATGAGTACTAATTATGACTTCTGTATTCACTATTTTACCACAGATGAATGCCTGTTTGTAAGTACCATCCTCTGTCTGGAGCAGGCCTATCTAAAATAAATATTTGTGCTTGGCTGATGATTTTAAATTTTTGTATTAAGGCTTATCATGTGTCTAATATTACTGGCTCCCTAATGTTTCTGTACATACAGTACATGGCCTATCTCCAGAGCTTTTGCTTTCAGGCTCTTCCATCAAGACATGGCTATTTTTAAACAAGTGCTAGACATAGAATGGGAAAATGTGTTTGTTATTCCCAGTATTAGGAGTGTGAGTCTGAAGTATAGTCTGTATATATCACATAACATTTCAAAGGCTTCTTCCAGGCCCAGTTTAGCAGTATTACATGCTTTCTGCTGAGGTAGATTTCATAAGATCCCTACAAAGAGCACATTTGCCCTTATAATACTGAGTCTATCAAAATATAAGATGTTATACACTGAAAATTATAAAGAGCAAGATAGTAAACATATATGGCCCTATTCATAAACGTGTCCCAGCCATTCAAGTAGATGAACTCCTGCTTACCCTTTTACTTGATGATAGGCAGCTTGCTATAAGGCAGCAACATTTAATGCATCTGTCTACACAGTATGGCAATAAATAATGAAAAGTTGCTAGCAAAAATAAATAATTCATTTGTTCTCAGCAACACATCAATATTTTTATACAGAGTACAACATAATACTAGGTTTTTATTTCCAGTCCCCACCAGATTCAGATCAAAATTCCTCTATTTATACTCAACAAACTGGCCAATTTATTGTTTATCAGTCCTTGCAAAGTGTCCAGCAATTTGTCAATAGACTAAATCTCTTTCATTAAGATAATCTGTATAGTCAGTCATTAACTGACTAACTTCTTCTTCCCTTTACTTTTCTTCAGTGGACAGGAAGAATGGATGTGGACACTCACCTGACCATCCAGGGCCTTGAACTTTCTTCCCGGATCTTCAAAATTAATGGTGATATAGTAATCCCTATTACTATATTTTTCCCTATCACATGGAAGGAATAAGTGCATTTAATAAGCCTTGAAAGTTGATCTATCAACCCCTTGTCCCTGCTTCTGACAGATAGCACACTTCACAACTGGCACACATTTGTTTTAATTACTGATAACAGTGAGTTACCAACTATCACAATTTTTTTGCTTTTTTACAGATGCAAGTACATCCCTTTCCTCTTCAGTAATTTATTGTCTTATCTCCTATTCCTCAGTATCTTCTTCAGGAACCTGAAAAGTTATATAGTAGAGCAGGGATCCCTAACCCCCTGTCCACGGACCGGTACCGGGCTGTGGCCAGTTAGGAACTGGGCTGCACAGCTGGAGGCATTCTGCAAGTCTGCAGGGGTCTGGGCAGGGTGGGAGAGTGATAGGGCAGAAGCCGGCTTGCTCAGTGCAAAGGTTTTCTATGGCTGTGCTTGCAACTGGCTTGCAACATATGAGCTCAGCGTCCTTTCTCCTCTTCCTCCTCCTGCTTCTTGTGCTATCTCTTCTTCTGCCTCCTCCACCTCCTCCTCCTGCTTCTCCCTCCTCTACTTTTTCTTCCTCCTCCTCCTCTTCTTCCTCACTTTCTTCCTCTCCCCCTCCTGGATCCTGTGATTTTTGCAATAAAAAGTTGGGCATGGAAGCATAGTCATCGCCATCTCATCCACTTTTCAAAGTAAACTGGATTTTTTTGAAGGAAGGACAATTTCCACAGGTGAAATATTACAGGTAGTCCTTGACATACAATCACAATTGACCCCAAAATTTCTGCTAAGACAATTATTAAGTAAATTTTGCCCCAATTTACCATCTTTCTTGTCACAGTTGTTAAGTGAATCACTACATTTTAAAGTTAGTAACATGGTTGTTAAGCTTCCCCACTGACTTTGCTTGTCATATGACCCTGGGACACTGCAGCTGTCATAAGTACATCCCATTGAAATTTTGATCACCTGGCCACAGAGATCCTTGCAATGGTAATAAGTGTGAAAAACGGTCATAAATCACTTTTTTCCAGTACTGTTGTAACTTGTTGTAGCACTAAATCAAAGGTTGTAAGTCAACAACTACCTGCATTAGTATTCATTGTGCTGTGAACACACATGGAATAAAAAAATTCAGTCCACTCCAACGAAACCATTCTGTCCCTGATCTTATGAAAAGAGCTCTCTCAATTATGCCCTTCCTTAGATCAATGCTCCCATAACTGATTTTAGACTTGTTCTGTATTCTAGGCAAGAGTTGTCTCACAAACAAGAAGAGACTAATTGGATTTCAAAATATCTACAGTTATACAATAGTCTTACATTTTTTGTTTATTTTGTTGAGGCTGCAAATTCAGTTCAGATGTAAACATGCTTCTTCTGCATATATATTTGTGTTATATAATAGAGAGGAGGGAAATATAACAACTGAATAAGCAAAATATTAAAGTGTGGTTATGGGTGGAGGCTGATGTTAAATATGGAGTCTTCTCCCTCAGTAGAAAAGAAATCTTTTGAAATGTGAATACAATAGCAATATTGTTAGCATTCACAATACCAGCTGAAGCATCAGTGATACACAAATTTTAACAATGTATTCATATAGCTGGACAATAGAGGCTTTATATAATTAGAAAACACATTTTAAAAATAATTAAATGAAAGTACTTTTCATTTCCTTTTTCCATGCATTCCTAAAGGGTTAGCAGAATGGTGAAAGGCTACATACTGGATCAAACATCAGCATTTCTTGCATATGAAACACTATAGAAATGAAACTATAGCTTTGTTTCATGAGGAAATTCCACTGCCCACAGAGATATAAAGCTATATCCAGAGCAAGAATGATGGAATGCATTGTCAAAGAATTGAACAAATTCCTGCGAGATGAGACTCATGGCCAATTAGAAAAGGCGCATTTTGCAATTAAAACGGGGCATCTCAATTTATAACCTGAAATAGTTTGGAACTGTAACATAGAAGGCACAGAGCAGCTGTCAGGTAAGAATGGTGTTTCCTTATGAAGGTGCCTCTTAGAATACCAGTTATACTTCCAGTGTTTCCATACTTTTGCCTAGTAGGATATTTTAAAATGATTCTTAATTGCCAATATAAATCAGAAAAATTCATAACAGTACAGACAACCCTGGGTTAGTTTAACATGTACAAAGCAGCAATTATTTGCTCAACAGTTTTTCCAATGCAATTGCATAAGGATTTTTATGAGTTTGTGCTATATAACAATAATGGATTTTGTGAAATGCTAGCTCTACTCTTTCTGAAATGGATTTGCCAGAATGCCTTCTGCGGAACTTTAAAGCCTACAATAAACACCTCCTCTATGCATATGTATATGTCTGAACATTATTTTCCAGGGCTGCTTTGGACAGTAGGAATGTTGGGTTTGTTCAAACTGCACTCTCCGTTGTACAAAAAAGACTTCTTTCTCCCACTTCTGCCATCCCTGAAAATCTGCCAGGAAACCCTCAGACTTCTGGGGACTCAGAGGAATTGCAGGAGAAGGGATGAAGTCTGGAACTGGCTAACTATTAGCTAAAATGCTAATTCCCTCAATCCACTTTTCCTGCTAATCTTGGAATGTGGTGGTAAGAGAATCTAAGGAAGATGCCTTATCAATGATGTTTGCAATTGCACTGAGTATATCCATGTAATCAGAGATATATCAGTGAAAGAATCAGCTAACAGATAACTGTGGATTAGATCCATATTCTTCCCCTGTTCAGTCCATCACTATTTTTCAAGGGACCTATAAATAACATGAAGAAATACAGAATTTAGACAGAATTTTCACTCATCCCAAAGAAGACTGAACTCATGATCTTAAACAAGACCTAATGGGAACTTCCCAGTAAATCAGGAGGAATTTATTCATCTTGTAGAACAGTGGTTCTTAACCTGGGCGATATTGCCCCCAAGGGGGTGATTTCATTTTTCAGGGAGGCAATGAAATGAAAAGGGGTGACGTGGAGGCGAAGGAACGAAAAGGGGGCGATATGGGGGCGATGGAGTGAGAAGTTTTGGGGACACTTTTGAGACTTTTTCGTACAGTGAATCGCTGTATATCTGTTGTACAAAAACATCAGATCACTCGCTATTAGTGGATTGAATTGTGTTTTCAAATATTCCTCCAGCTAGCTTTAGTACAGAACACCGTACATTTGTGAATACGCATTGTTTATCTTCATGCACGTTGCGCAGCAGCCTCTACCCATATAGTGGCACGCCATTGGCCAGAATGGGCAGTGATGGAGGGGGGGAGCGCTTCTTTTGAAACATCGCATGCTGAGTGGCTGTCCCCTGTGATGTCAGCTGTAATGTCAACATAAATGTTGAAACTAGGTTTATTGACGTCCACGTGTGTTTTTCTAGTGTTCCAATGGAGTCAAAAATTTAATTTGCAGATAGTTCCTTTCATTTCGAAGACCTCTCAACATGGCTGAGAAGAGGAAGTATCGCCAATATTCGACGGAATATCTAAAATTGGGATTTATTCCATCTCCTTCCAATGTACAACTTCCGTTTTGTCTTCTTTGTGAGAAAACATTTTCCAATGAAGCCTTCCCAACTGAAAGACCATTTGGTAAGAATTCATTCGGATAAAGCTGACAAACCGGCATCATTTTTCCAATCCTTAAAGGCCAAGTTTGGGGGTTGCAGCACTGTTGGGAAGTTATTTGGAAAATCGTCACTCAATGCTGACAAGAGGCTCATTTGCTCCTATGAAGTATCTTTGTAGATAGGAAAAATGTGGAAAACATCACACACATTCGGAGAAATGCTGATTTTACCAGCAATGACACAGATTGCCACCATGTTGGGGCCCAGTGCAAGCACTATCACACAATCGATTCCTTTGAGCAATGACACCGTATCGGAAAGAATTGATGAAATGGCTGCTGATGTGGAAGAAAGGCTTATTGACACCTTGAAAAATACAGAATTCGTGATGCAGATTGACGAGTCAACGATTCTTGAAAATGAAGCCTTGTTATTGGCTTATATCTGTTTCATCAACGGGAATGAAGAAATCGGGGAAGAACTGTTATTTGTTTGAAATTTAGCCACCAACACAAAAGGTTCTTAGATATTTAAAAAGGTTGAAGAGTTTTTTAATCAGAAAAACATTCCTTTGACAAACATCGTGGCATGTGCAACCGACGGAGCTGCATCCATGGTTGGACGATATTGCAGATTTCAAGCTCATCTAAAATTGGTTGCACCTGGAGTTATGACTGTCCATTGCATCATAGACAGCACCTTGTCTCAAAAAATTTGAGTGGCCATTTGCACAAGTCTCTACATTACGTCATTAATGCTGTGAATAAAATTAAGTCGAATGCCTTGAATAACCAACTTTTTCACAAGCTTTGTGAAGAAAATGAAGAGGAGTTTGAATGTCTCCTTTTGCACACCGAAGTAAGGTGGCTTTCAAAAGGAAAATGTTTGCGGTGATTCCACGAACTTTTTGACACAGTTGTCGAATTTCTTGAATCCATTAAACTTCGACGTCCGGATGTAGCTTATCTCACTGATGTTTTTGACAAGCTGAATGAAGTAAACGTAAAGCTGCAAGGAGATAAAATAATTTATCTTAAGACCAAGGGAGTAATCTGCTCATTTATTTCCAAATTGGACCTCTTTGCAAGCAATATGAGTCACCAGGAGCTGTATCAGTTCCCAAGCCTTGGTAATGAACGTGAACTCCAAGGAGAAGATTTGGACATTTTTTGCTGCCACTTGAAGCAACTAAAAGAAGATATGGAAACCAGATTCTATGATCTGATAAATCTGGAAGTGCCCACTTGGGTGCTAAATCCTTTCACAGCAAACTTTGCACAACTTCATCCCAAACTGCAAGAGCCACTGACAGATCTGAAATACGACTGTGAAGCCCAGTCACTTTTTCAGAGTTACGGCTACGAAGCTTTTTGGGTGAAAATGAGGAACACTTACCCAATATTGTGGGAGGAAGTTAAGTTGCTTCTTTTAGCCTTTCCTTCAATTTACTTAGTGGAGAGGGGCTTCAGCGCCATCCAACAGATCCTTTCTAAGTCAAGGAACATGTTGAAGATCTCTGAGCGGGGTGATTTAAGAATGCAATTAACAAAAATGGTTCCAGACATCAAGAAATTGACATCAGCTCACCAAGCACAAGGCAGCCATTGATGTTCTTTTTTTTTAATTTGCTTTTTGTGTACATACATTTTTTTCGTTAATAATTGTCTGAGCTTTTATCGTTGTATTTGCTTGCATTGGATTTCATGTTCCAGTTTTTGGTTTCAGCTTTGTTTTTGAATTTTTGTTGTGCTCTGTAAATCTATTTGTGTGTCTCTTTATATTGTACTTTTTTAGCATGCACTCCAGTTCGATATTATATTTTCTTTGTGTCTTTTTAATCCTTTTTACAGTATGCGTGACTATATATACTTTCTTCGAATTTTAATTTAGTTTCAGAGTTTTCGTCTTGAAATTCTTAGTTCCTGCATTGCGGTTTGCTCTTATGCCCTTTTTATATATATTTTTTGTGTCTTAAATTTCACTTGTAATTCAATCATTAAATGTTACTGTTTTTCTTTTCAGGCATTTCACTTTCTTGCAATTGAATTTTGTTTTTAGTGGTCATTACATTTAAGTGTCTTGAATAAATAAGATAATAAGGAAATACAAGTATCACGAGGTTTGGGAATAAAGTGATGGGTGGCACCAAAATTTTTCACACAGTTGAGATATGGGAAAAAGACTGGAAATAAATTATTTGCATCGATATGTCCTGATGACAATTTAAAAAAAAACAAAAAAAGTGTTTTCATAAATTGAAGAATTATTTCCTATGTTGTGATTGAGAGGTTATGTTGGGGGAGGGGCAATGACAACTTCCTCATTGGCTCAAAGGGGCGATTCGTTCAAAAAGGTTAAGAATCACTGTTGTAGAGCATTTCATCTTGGTGGTAGATGGTGCTGCCCATTATAACCAATGAAGATTGCCTACTGACTCATTGTGATGTGTGGATTCTGCTTTTTTCCCATATGGATCAAGTTCTTTAGACCACTTTTGACAGGTGGCTATGCCCCCAGCTCTATCAACTATCTAAAATTGTCTTCTCCCGTAGGCATAGTAATTGGTGGCAATTGCTTTCCTTATTCACAGGGAGGATGGCCAAATGCTATTATCACACATGGACTGCAAAAAGTTAGATGGCCAGTGACGGCAGCATTCTCCTGTCAAATTAATCCATATTTTATTTTATTTTTTCATATAAGGTTTGTATTTTGTTTCTTTTCAGACATTTTAGTTTCATTTCATTCACTTCTTTCTTTTCATTCCCTATCCATTTCTCCCACACCCAAAACTATGCTTTACACTACCAAATAATTACCTTTCCAGATTTAGAACCTTTCATCACTTTTGTGTCCTTCACGAATTCTTTCAATTTTTCATCACAAGTAATCAAATTAATCATGCGTTCATATTTATATTCATTCCTTTGTCATATGCACACATGAACAGAATAATGCTTAAACAAGCATTTTGAAACAAACTTATTTTTTGAAACAAGCAAACTTTTTTCTAGGAGCTACAAATTATACTGTAGACTCAGTTATTAGTATTAAACAACAGTGTTCAGGGATGTGAGGGGACAGCTGCAACAGTCTCAGTAGCCGATAAAATTCAGTCAGTGGCCATGTCATCAGCCATATTGTTGGGAACTTGCAAACCTATGAGTTGCTAAGGATATGAAGTATTTAAGAAGCTTCCCAAGATTGCCATCAATGAATCCATTTTTTTCCTCTAGGTTATGAAATGAAAGTAATTCTACAAAAAGGTAAGTTACTAATGCATGAAAAGTGATTGTAGAAATTGGGATCTGATTTTGTGAAATTTTATCACTGCAGCAAAGAAAAAGAGAAATAATGAAGCCCTACACCAAAACAACTGGAAAAATCTGGAATTTCTGTTTTGTGCCTGGTCTGTGTGTATGAATGCTGAGCTCAGTGCTAGCAGCTGCCTCATTTCTACCAATTAATCAAGTAAATTGTGAACTGCTTTAACATTTTGATCCTGAAAGCATTTTTAAGATTAACAAATGAAACATCTATTTTATCTTGATATGTAAAGATATCACTTTTAAAATTAATACCTTAAAATTAATGTATTAAAATTAATTTTAAAATCAATACATTAAAATTAATTGAAAAATTCAAATGTGGAAAAAAATAGCAGGAGGAATACAAAATTAGATTTTGGGGGTTTTATTTTCAGCCTCCAAACATCTGTTCATGAGTTTTTGGGACTTCCCATCCAGCTATACCATCTCTCAATCTCTTCTTTCATAAGGGGAGGTGCTTTGCTTTGTCTAATGTTTAAAATTCCTAATGTTGTGACCTCACTACATAGGAAGGATGAATTTAAATTATGGAGGAGCAGACAAATGTAGACAACTGACATTTGGCTTGGCTATAGTGGACAATCACTTAAATATGAGCCAGCAGTGTGCTGCACCTGCCAAAAAAGCCAACACAGTGCTAGGCTGCATTAACAGAGGGATAAATCAAAATCACGTGAAAGGTTAATATCACTTTATAATGCTTTGGTAAGGCCACACTTGGAATACTGCATCCAGTTTTGGTCACCACAATGTAAAAAAGATGTTGAGACTCTAGAAAGAGTAAAGAGAAGAGCAACAAAGATGATCAGGGGACTGGAGGCCATAACATATAAGGAACGGTTGCTGGAATTGGGAATGTCTAGACTCTAGTCTAATGAAGAGAAGGACGAGAGGTGACATGATAGCAGTGTTCCAATATCTCAGGAGTTATTACAAAGAAGAGGGAGTCAAGCTATTCTCCAAAGCACCTGAAGGCAGGACAAGAAGCAACAGATAGAAACTAACCAAAGAGAGAAGCAACCTAGAACTAAGGAGAAATTTCCTGACAGTTAGAACAATTAATCAATGGAACAACCTGTCTCCAGAAGCTGTGAATGCTTCAACACTGGAAGTTTTTAAGAAGAGACTGGATAGCTATTTGTCTGAAATGGGTTTCCTGCCTGAGCAGGGGTTTGGACAGGATGACCTCCAAGTCCCTTCCAACTTTATTATTATTATTATTGTTATTATTATTATTATTGTTGTTGTTGTTAGTATTAGAGCAATCCATACTTCAATTTCAGGAAATTCAGCAAAAAATAAAAAAAATCCACCCCCTGCTGGATTTTTTTTCCAGTTTTGAATATGCAGATTGCATGTAGAAGCAACTTACATATTATTGTTCATCTTCTTATTTCAGTGCCCTTCTGAAACCTTGAGAAATTTTCAGAATTAATTTATGTGGCTGCTTGACAGCTCGTCAGCAGAGCAAGGGAAGAAGAGACAGTGTTCCTGCAGCACCAAAAAACTCCAGGGTCTTCTGAGAGGAATGACCAGATAGCAGACTTGATAAAAAATCTGTTGAATTTCAACTATGACTGCTATCTATTTTGAATACTACTGTGCTTTAGGGTAACTGCACATTTCAGTGCTTCATTTAAAAGTAAAAGAAATTGACAGCAGCTACTATTCAGCTGAAGAGGAACTCAAATCAAGCACCACTTTATAAAAAAAGAACTGTTAGCAACAGAATATTATGAAACACTTGACTTCTGACTATGAAAAATGATACCGTTGGGCAGACAAAAATACACTTACAATATTTTTAAAAGATGTAGTTTTAGTCAGATTTGAATTTTTCAAACAGATGTTCCCTGATAACTGAAGGGCCAGTTTTCTAAAATAGGAATTTTAAATGTGATGTCATGAAACGGACTGAAGTGTGTCTTCAAAGACACATTTTGCACCCTTTTAAGGCCAATTAAGAATATAAGATTCCTTGGTAATTTCCAAGGCAAAATGATCCCCATCAGCAATTTTGCACAACTATTTTACCAATGAATTAATTTGGATATATTAACTTCATATAATCCCAGAAGAATGATTATGGGTTGCGCATAATTTTCTAAAGGAAGATTTGGAATATCTTTCTATCCCCAGAAGTTCCTAGAAAAACCTTAGAAACTTACTACGTAAGACATATGTAGGAAATCATTTTTAAAATTCAAAAATATTAATATATGAATATCTTAATGTTGTGAAGAAATGACTAAAGACTAGAAATGGTTGGAGTCATTCCACAGATATAAGCAGTGCTGAGTTTGAAGGAAATTTTGAGGAATGTTCAAAATTAGGATTCTGGGAACATTATATGTTATGTCATATTTTCATATTTTCCATCTTACTGGGGCAAAAAACTATGGCATTAATTTAGAGTAATGATATTTGGGGGGAGAACCATGAGAGTTACAGAAAAGGAGTTTGGGACAACATGATGCTGTGAGGCCTTTCCCCAAATGTAGAATTTCTTGGGGGAATTTTTTGGGAAAGAAAAAATAATACTTTCTGACAGTAGTTCTTGAGGTTAGCAGCCCAGTGAAAGTAGCTACTGTATAAAAAGCCTAGCTTGAATTTCAGAATTTGTGACAGTCCCTCTGTCTCAATCCAATCCACCTCACAGGACTATTATTAAAGGGGAAAAAAATAGAAGCAACATGTGTGTCTTCTTGAGCTACTAAATGAAAAGTCAAAAATAAATCTAATAAATAAATAATACATGAAACACATCAGTAGTGGACGATCTGAAAAGATAAGAAAAAATGAGTATAAATTACGGGCTTTTGCGGATGATTTGGTTTTGATTTTAGAACAACTGATTAGAGCGGTTGATTGTCTATTAGAACTTATAATACAGTATGGAAAAGTTTCTGGTTTTAAAGTCAATAATCATAAGACTAAGATATTATCTTAGTCTTAGATAATATGTTAGCCAATGACAAGGAAAGTTTGGTTAAAGCCACAGGTTTTCAGATGGTGAAAATGGTTAAATATCTGGGAGTATATTTAACTGCCTCAAATGGAAAATTGTATAAAAATAATTATGAATTACTATGGGCAAAAGTGCAAAAGGATTTAAATGACTGGAAAAAACTGCAATTGTCATTGTTGGGGAGAATTTCAGCTGTAAAAATGAATGTTCTACCAAAGTTTCTTTTCTTGTTTCAGATGATACCTATTTTAAAAAAGATGTAAATTTGGAGGAATGGCAGAAGGGTATCAATAAATTCATTTGGGCTGGGAAAAAACCAAGGGTTAAGTTTAAGATTTTGCAAGATGCCCGAGAAAGAGGAGGACTTAAAGCATCTAACTTGAAATTATATTATGATGCAGCCGCCTTAACTTGGATAAGTGATTGGCTTAATTTAACAAATAAGGATATTCTTGTTCTTGAAGGGTGGAATTTAATGTATGGTTGGCATGCATATTTAATTTTTAATAAGAAAGTGGACCGGGCTTTCAAATCACATATTTTGAGGAGTGCCTTACTTCGAGTTTGGAAAAAGTATTATTATAGGTTAAACTATAAAATACCTATCTGGAGGATTCCTAGACATGCAATTGAGGGGATTTCTAAGGGGATGAATTTTGATAAAATTTCGTATAAAGAATTATTAACTTGGTCAGGTTCGGACTGGCATTTAAAATTTCTAGATGTATTAAGGCAAGAAAATATTCTACAGTCATGGTTTCAATATTTACAAATAGTGGACAGGTGGACTGTAGATAAAAAAGAAGGAATAACACTAGAAGATGGAAATCTGGTTATTCAGATTAAAGTCAGGCCCATATAAAAAGAATTTACAATGTTTTAATAGAATTAGACTCTGAAACAGAATTGGTTAAAGACTGTATGATTAAATGGGCTCAGAATATCCAGGATCCAATCCCATTGGACTTATCGGAGACAATTTGGATTAGAAATGTTAGATTTACACAAGCTCAAAATCTGAGGGAAAATTTTTATAAAATGTTTTACAGATGGCATTTAGATCCTAAAAAATTATCTTGTATGTATCCAAATTTACAACCCAAATGTTGGAGATAATAGGTAATGATAGGTAATATGGATGCGACATATTTTCATGTTTGGTGGAATTGTAAAAAGATAAAGGCTTTTTGGATTATGATTTGGTGGAACATTCCACAGATTTTTAAAAGGAAGATAAAGTTCACCCCTCAATTATTCTTATTGGGTTTCTTTGTGGATTTAAATGACAAAGAAACTACTTTAATGTTGAATTTATTAACTGCTGCAAGGTTTTAGTAGGCTCGTATTGGAAGAAGGACTCGTTGCCTACTTTAGAAGAATGGATATTTAAAGTTTCTAACTTTGCAGAAATGGCAAAAATTTCTGCTTATTTGAAGGATCATACACAAGAAAGATATATTATTGTAGGGAGAAGATGGATAGATTATATTCAGAAAAAATATGGGACTATAAAGTTTCGTTTATTTTATGAGTAAATTTTATAGTAACTGTTGTAGAGATTTGTTTATATGACTTAATTAAGGGGAGTTAAAGGTTAAGTATGATGTTTTCTTCCCTCTTTTATTTTCTTTTTTTCTTTTTTCTTTTTTATTATTGTTAACTTTCTTAATAATAACCCTGTATTCTGGTCTGGGAAGCGAGGGGGGAGGGTTGAGGGTGGGTGGGTGGGTGAGTGGGTGGGTAATGATAATATAGACATGGTAAACGCTTGGGCATTTCCCCTATGCTGCGTTCATGTGTGTGAGAGGGATGAGAGGGGAGGAAGGAGTAGGGAGGAAGTAGGATGGTTAGAGGAGAAGGGGAGGGGAAGAGAGTAGGAGGGGAGGAGAGAAAGAAGAGGGAAGTGGGGAAGGATTAGAGAGGGTGGACGCAGCCTGGGGGGAATGGGCAGGCGGTACCAATGGTTAGG